TCCATGTCCCCTCCATGTATCCCCCAAATCCCTCCACGTCCCCCCCTGAACCCCAGCAGTACTTGGGACCCTTATAAAGGCTTTGGGGTGAGGGGACAGGGACACACGGGGGCCTGTCCTTGTCCCTGTCCCCAGGAGATGGGGCTGGAGAAGCATCTCAGGAATTCAATCCAGGTGGGCACAGTGCTCCCCCCCAATCCCGTGTCCCACCTCCATGGCTCCCGCGTCCCTCGCTGTCCCCGGGGCTGGTGGCACTGCTGGTGACAGCTGGTGACACGTGGGGTGGCCCCAGGTCACTCCTGGAGCCCAGCCTGGATCAGCTGCCTGGGAGAGCAGCAAACCCCCCGGGAGCGTTGGGTGTTCCCGGCCCTGCCCCCTGCTCGGACAGGGGGGCTCCTCTCCCGTTAAACGCTTCTGTTGTTAAGGAATGTGGAATCTTCCATGGATAAGGAAGAGCTGTGGGTTACTGGGAGGTGTGTGGGATCATAGGATCACACACTGGTTTGGGTTGGAAGGGACCTGAAGGATTATCCAGTGCCACCCCCCTGCCATGGGCAGGGACACCTTCCACTAGCCCAGGTTGCTCCAGCCTGGCCTTGGACATTTCAGGGATGGGGCAGCCACAGCTTCTCTGGGAAAACCTGTGCCAGGGAAGAATTCCTTCCTAATGTAACCCACAGTCACATGCACCCCATGGAGATCCACCCCCACATCCCTCCATCCCGGGTTTGTCTCTCTGCCCAGATTTTCGACCCTCCGGAGGAGCTGGAGCGGAAGGTCCGGGAGCTGGCGGAGCTGATCCGGAGCTCCTCCAATGTGGTCTTTCACACAGGGGCAGGAATCAGCACGGCCTCGGGCATCCCTGACTTCAGGTAAGGGGATGGCACCCCCTCCAAGTCCATCTTCCAGCTTGGAAAGCTCTTGGAAAGCTCTGGTTTGCCCTATCCATCCATCCATCCATCCATCCATCCATCCATCCATCCATCCATCCATCCATCCCATCAGTCCTGGATCCAGCTGTGAACACCTTTTTCACACCTCCCTGATGTTCAGCTCTTCCCACAAAATCCCCCCCGTGTGCTCTGCTTGCATCAGCCACCGAAATCCTGGTGGTCCCTGACCTCCATTCCACAGGGCCTGGCTCATCCCACATGGATGGGGCCTGAGCTCTCCCTTCTCCCTCTTCCCCTCTTTCTGCAGGGGCCCCAATGGTGTCTGGACCATGGAAGAGAAAGGGCTCTCCCCAAAATTCGACACCACCTTTGAGAATGCCAGGCCCTCCAAGACTCACATGGCGCTGCTGGGGCTGCAGAGAGTCGGAATCCTGAAATTCCTGGTCAGCCAGAACGTGGATGGCCTGCACGTGCGTTCGGGATTCCCACGGTACTGCCCCTGCCTTTCCCAGCCCCGGGGAAGGGATTTGATTCCCGAGGAATCTGATAGGGGGAGTGAAAGCTGGAAGGGGATGAACCAGCTGGAATTTAGAGGCTGTGGTTCGAATCCAGAGGGTGGTGGAATGGAGTTGTCCTCGGTTGTTGCTCCCTGGAAGTGCTTCTCGTGCACAGGAAAAACAGGTCATGGAATTGTAGAATCCCAAAATGGTTTGGGTTGGAAGGGACCTTAAATCCTGTCTCATCCCACCCCCTGCCATGGGCAGGGGCACCTTCCACTATCCCAGGTTGCTCCAACCTGGCCTTGGACACTTCCAGGGATGGGGCAGCCACAGCTTCTCTGGGAAATCCATCCCAGTCCCTCACCACCCTCCCAGGGAGGAATTCCTTCCCAATATCCCATCTAACCCTTCTGCTCTCCTGTGCCACATCATGGAGTCAGGGAATCCCAGACTGGTTTGGGTTGGAAGGGACCTTAAAGCCCATCCAGTTCCACCCCTTCCCTGGGCAGGGACACCTTCCCCTATCCCAGGTTGCTCCAAGCCCCATCCAGGTCGTGGTGTTTGTAGGCGTCGGTGCTCCCTGAGGGATCAGGGCCCTGGGGGTGAGAATCTGGATCCAAGCAGGACACGTGCTCCTGGGAGCAGCTCAGAGCAGTTCTCAGGGTCCTTTCCACCCTCTCCATACCCATCCAGAGGGGTGGAGGCACAGGAGGGAGGATGGGAACAGCTGGAATGGCTCTGGGTGCAGAGACGTGTCTCGCCCCAGTTTGCCGGAGCTCTCGGAGCGCTGGATCCTGGCCCTGCCTCAATTTGCTTCCATTAAATCCCAATAAAACCAGTGCTGGCCCCCAAAGAGCCTTAACAAACATTTGGCCTCTTGATAAATCTGGGAATCTCCAAGAGCAGCAAGAGAGAGAGGGAAGGTCCCGGGGCTGGAACTGCTCTGACTTACCGGTGCTCTCCGATTCCCTGGCGGCGAGGTCGGGATCCCACGGAGGATTCCCGAGGATTCCGAGAATTCCCTCTGCAGGGAAGAGCTGAGGGTACCAGAGCTCCAGTCCCTGCCTGGGGGGGACTGGAGTGGCTGTTCCAAAGATGTCCTCAAAGGAACCTGCCTCTCCCCCCAGCCCTCGTGACAGCCGGAGCTTCGCCCTTCACGAACTCCAGCCCGTTATAAAACCCATTCCCGGCACTTAAGAGCAGCCTGGGATTGTTGGTGGGAGGGAAAAGTGCTCAGAGCTGCCTGGGAAGGGGAGGGGAGAGCAGCAGAAAATAAAAGGAAGGGAGGCATTGAGGCTTGAAAGATGCTGAGTGTCTGGGACTGACGTTCAGACCTCTGGGGTTTTTATGCTGAGGCGCCGGAACAGGTTTGCCAGAGAATCTGTGGATGCCCTTGGAAACAAGGATGGGAAAAGGGAAATAGGCCTTGGAAAATGCTCTCAGGGACGTGGTGGGATTGTTGGGGTGTCCTGGGCAGGGCCAGGAGTTCAACTGATGATCCTTGGGGGTCCCTTCCGACTCAGGATGTTCTGTTATCCCTGGAAATGTCCAAGGCCAGGTTGGAGCAACCTGGGATAGTGGGAGGTGTCCCTGCCCATGGAGGGGGTTGGAATGGGATGATCTTTAAGGTCCTTCCAACCCAAACCATCCTGGGATTCCACGAGTGGGGATGAGAATGAGGATCATGAAGGAATCTGGGAGAAGATGCTTCTCACAAATACCTTCAACCATCTCTGGCTGAGCAGAGCTGCCTCCAGGGGGGATTTCCTGGGATTAAAAGCCCTGAGTCCTTCTCCCAGCACCACCTTTGCCTGTTTGAACTGAACAGCCCTGGGAAAAGGAATAGGGAATAAGGACAGAACTCCAGTTGAGCCCAGCTCTGCCACCCAAACGAAGCCTGTGCTTGAGCAATGCCGCTGAACTGGGGCCAAACTGGGGGAAATCAAGTCAGTCCTGTCTCATCCCCCCTGGAGGAGGTTCCCAGGAGTTGTGTGGGGGGTTTGGAGGAGCACAGGCAGAGCATGGCTGTGTTTCCCTCTGGCTTCTGCACCGAGCTCGAGGGGACTTTCAGGCTAAACGGGTTTCAGAGGGCTGGGATGGCACAGGGACAGAGAGGTGCTGAGGAAAGCAAAGATCCAGGTGCTACCAGGAGCAGAGGTTTGAGCTGGGTCAGGAGCTGGAATCGATGCTGCAGGTGGAAGCATTCCAAGTAAAAAGCCAGGACATGCTGTCCCTCCTCAGTCCCTGCTGTGGTGGCCTCGGGGAGATGAACCCCCCACCTGGCAGAGCTGGAATGCAGGGAAGCCCTTGAGCTTCAGGGCCCTGGTGAGGAAGGGAGGGGGGGTGTTGCTCCAGGGCTCTCCACCCCTTTCCCACCTCACCTGTTCTCCCACAGGGACAAGCTGGCTGAGCTCCACGGGAACATGTTTGTGGAAGAGTGCGTGAAATGCGGCAAGTACGTGTGCCCTGAGCCTGGGGAGGGGGGCTTGGTGGGGTTTTCCACGTCGGGGGGGGGGGCATTCCAGCCCTCCCCTGAGCAGCTGGCCCTGAGTGGCTCCGTGTCTCCGCAGGCAGTACGTGCGGGACGCCGTGGTGGGCAGCATGGGGCTCAAACCCACCGGCCGGCTCTGCAGCGTCACCAAGGCCCGCGGGCTGAGGGCCTGCAGGTAGGGCTGGGGCCCTGCAGGTGGGGCTGGATCCCTGCTGGAATGCTGGGTGTGAGATGGCAGGGATCATAGAATCATAGGATCATAGGATCAGCTGGGTTGGAAGGGACCTCCAGGATCATCAATCCAAGCCTTGATCCAACCCCGCTGTGGTTCCCAGCCCATGGCACTGATGCCACATCCAGTCTCTTCTTAAAAACCTCCAGGGATGGAGAATCCACCCCTTCCCTGGGCAGCCCATTCCAATGGCTGAGCACCCTCTCTGCAAAGAAATTCTCCCTGATATCCAACCTAAACCTCCCCTGGCACAGCTTCAGACCCAGCCCTCTTGTCTTGCTGATGGTTGCCTGGGAAAAGAGACCAACCCCCCCTGGCTCCCCCCTCCTGGCAGGGAGTTGTAGAGAGTGATGGCAGGGATCTCTTGGAGTGGCCAGCAGTGCCTCAGGGTTGGGAGAAGCAGCTGAGGGTGTGGGAAGGTCTGGGACAAGGGGCTGGGGCACCACTCCCCCCCTTCCTCACCTCTGCCAGGGCAGCTCTGCTGTTCCTGCCTGGCAGGGGAAAACTTGGGCCCTGTGTGTGTTTTCCAGAGGGAAGTTACGAGACACTATCCTGGACTGGGAAGATTCCCTGCCCGACCGTGACCTCACGCTGGCAGATGAAGCCTGCAGGTGACTGAGCACCCTGGGGAGTGGGAGGTGGAACTGGATGAGCTTTAAGGTCCCTTCCAACCCAAAGCATCCCGTGGTTCTGGAGTGTTGTCTCCTCCCCGCAGGAAAGCCGATCTCTCTGTCACCCTTGGGACCTCCCTGCAGATCAAACCCAGCGGGAACCTCCCGCTGATCACCAAGAAGAGAGGAGGGAAGCTGGTCATAGTCAACCTACAGGCAACCAAACACGTGAGTGAGCGTCCTCTGCACCCTGGGCTGCTCCTCTGCCCTCGTGTCACCTCCCCCAGGCCCAGCCCAGCTTTGTCCCTGTCCCCTCCCAGGTGGGAGTTAAACCTGCAATTCCAGATAAACACTTAGAAATTGCAGGTAAATCTGCAGACTGGTTTGGGTGGGAAGGGACCTTGAAGTTCATCCAGTCCCACCCCCTGCCATGGGCAGGGACACCTTCCACTGGACCAGGTTGCTCCAAGCCCCATCCAACCCTATCCAAGCAAGTTTTAAGAGCAGAATAAAAGCTCAGCCCAAAGCCTGATGTATCCTCTGGTGAATCAAGGCCCAGTGAAATCATGGAATATGCTGAGTTAGAAGAGACCCCTCAGGATCATCGAGTCCAACTCCTGGCCATGCACAGACACCCCAACAATCCCCCCCTGTCCCTCAGAGCGTTGTCCAAACCCTCCTGGAGCTCTCGGGGCTGTGACCAAACCCTGAGGAGCCTGGGCAGTGCCCACCCACCCTCCGGGGGAAGAACCTTTCCCTGAGATCCAACCTAAACCTCCCCCAGTTCAGCAGGTCCACCTTCTGCTCAGCCCTGATTTCGGTGCCCCAATCACCCGAAATCTTTAACGCCCAGATTTCTGGGACGTCCTTATCGCTCCCCTTGTCCCCGTCCCACCCTGTCCCTGCTCTCTGTCTGGGTGTCCGGGCGTGTCCCCCGGGGTGTGACACCCTGGGGACATCTCCTGGTGTCCCTGGGAGGGGCCCTTTGTCCCCAGCCCCGTGTCCCCACCCCAGGACAGACAGGCCGACCTGCGCATCCACGCCTACGTGGACGACGTGATGACGAAGCTGATGAAGCTCCTGGGGCTGGAGGTGCCCGAGTGGACGGGGCCGGTGGTGGTGGAGAGCGCCGAGCTGCCGAGGCCGGAGCAGCTCCTCACGTCCCCCAGGAAGTGGCTGAAGGAGGAGCCCGTCTCCCAGCACAACGGCACGGGAACGCCGTGTCCCGGGAATACGCCGTGTCCCGGGAATACGCCGTGTCCCGGGAAGGTGCTGGTGGAGCACCACGATGGGCTGAAGCAGGAGTGTCCCAGCCCGGACACGGGGCCGCCGCCGGTGAAGAAGGTGAAGGTGGAGCCTCTCCTGAGCTGAGCCCTGGACTGTTCCCTCTCTCCAGACACTCGTCTGTGCCGCTTTTCCTACCGACTTTTTTTTATACCCTTAAATATTTGTCCCTTTTTTTATGTAAGTATTAAACACACTTGAAGCACACGCGGCGGGGCTTGGGAAGGGCGTCGCTCCTTCAAGTGTCCCAAAGCTCCCTCAGGTGTCCCAAAGTGTCCTCCTCCTTTCCTGAGAGGAGGCAGCTGTGGGGCACAGCTGGAGCTCGGGGAGCAGAAGGATGTGGGGTCTGGGCACTGGGATGGTGACATGGGATCACTGGGACAGCTGGCACCAGGTGGTGGTTGGGATGAGCCACCACCAGGTCCTGGCTGTGCCCATCCCACAGACTGGGGGGTGTGGATTTTCCCAGAGAAGCTTTGGCTGCCCCATCCCTGGAAGTGTCCAAGGCCAGGTTGGACAGGGCCTGGAGCAACCTGGGATGGTGGAAGGTGTCCCTGCCCGTGGCATCGGGTGGCACTGGATTTTCCCAGAGAAGCTTTGGCTGCCCCATCCCTGGAAGTGTCCAAGGCCAGGTTGGACAGGGCCTGGAGCAACCTGGGATGGTGGAAGGTGTCCCTGCCCGTGGCATCGGGTGGCACTGGATGGGCTTTAAGGTTCCTTCTAACCCAAACTGTTCCATAATTCTCTGATTCCATGTCACTTGGCCATGGAAGGGGACTGGTGCTGGCTGGATCCCAGTTGGATGCAGGGCTAGGAGCTGTGGGATGTGCCCTGGTATCCCACTGGACCTGGCCACATGTCCCATCTCTCCTGGGCCCCGTTGCCTCGAGGCAGTTGGGCTTGAGGTCCCCCTGGCCCAAGGCTCCTTGAAACCTTGTGGATCACCCCCTCTTAAATTAAATCAGGTGGATTTTTTTYCMAAAWWAMYTKKWWTT